CCACTTTGTGATGTTACTAGGCACCTGAAGATGCCCACTTTGTGATGTTACTAGGCACCTGAAGATGCCCACTTTGTGATGTTACTAGGCACCTGAAGATGCCCACTTTGTGATGTTACTAGGCACCTGAAGATGCCCACTTTGTGGTGCTACTAGGCACCTGAAGATGCCCACTTTGTGGTGCTACTAGGCACCGGAAGATGCCCACTTTGTGATGCTACTAGGCACCTGAAGATGCCCACTTTGTGGTGCTACTAGATATGTCAAGATGCCCACTAAGAATATACACATTGTCACATATATATATTTATATTTTTGTATATTGTATAGTTTTTCTTTATTACTATATGGTATACTCCATTATTTATTTTTGTTGTTACTCCTCTGTCCATCTGCTGCTGTAACAATGCAAACTTGCCAACTGTAGGATTAATAAATGTGATCTTATCTTATCTTATCTTAAAAGCTATCCAATACTATCAAAGCAGTCCATGAGTCATAATTTCCATCCCATCCACACTGAGATTAAACAGGAGCCAGCTTTGTTTTGAGAGGAAAATATTAGCATAGAGAGGAAGACTGCAGGGATTAGAGAGCCAGGTCTGTCCGCTGTGGACGACCCAGTTACACTAACATTAGGGTCAACTATGACAAGATAGTACTTCTGCTAGCTTTTAAATTATAATGCAAAATATATTCATCCTAAAAAGTCTATGTATTGGGAATACTTTGTTTGTAGGGAGTATATAATCATATCTGCCAGGCCGCCCGCTTTCAGAACCATGGACAGCTCGATAAAAACCGTCTGCAGTTTTCAACAACTCCAAGGTTCAGGGTACTCTCTACCTGCACTTCTAAAGGCTTTAACTGAGTCATTGTGCGGTTTCAAATCTGCTTCACCTTCCAGCACAAGTTAAAACACAATAAACGAGAAAGGAAGAGAATGAAAGACTGTTAGAGGCAGCACATGCGGCAGTGCCGTCCTCTGTTAGAGGCAGCACATGCGGCAGTGTCGTCCTCTGTTAGAGGCAGCACCTGTGGCAGAGTTCCGTCCTCTGGAGCCTGTGATGGGGTGGGGGGGCAGAGCTCCTCCAGCAGCTGTGAAATCACTTTGAGCTCCAATCTCTGGAGAGCTCCCAAGCCAGCAGCAGCCAGACGAATAGGGGGAGAGTGACGGATAGAGGGAGGCCTCCTGCTACCTGGCTGGTTCCCCACAGCAATGGGGGGGTGAGCTCTGCGATTAGTGGGGCCCAGAAGGGACTGGCTGCCCCCCAGCCCCTCAACACCAAGGGGCCTCCGGGTGGAACCCTAACATACAAGCGTCCTCACTGTCACACCCCGACACTGCATACCCATCCCTCATTGTCCCACCCCAGCACTGCGTACCCATCCCTCACTGTCACACCCCGGCACTGCGTACCCATCCCTCACTGTCACACCCCGACACTGCATACCCATCCCTCATTGTCCCACCCCAGCACTGCGTACCCATCCCTCACTGTCACACCCCGACATTGCATACCCATCCCTCATTGTCCCACCCCAGCACTGCGTACCCATCCCTCATTGTCACACCCCGGCACTGTGTACCCATCCCTCACTGTCACACCCCGGCACTGCATATCCATCCCTCATTGTCACACCCCGGCACTGTGTACCCATCCCTCACTGTCACACCCCGGCACTGCATACCCATCCCTCACAGTCACACCCCATCCCCCCAAGTCATGCGGGGATGACACAGTCATGCCATGTGCTGTCCGTACGCACCGGCGGCTCCTCGAGGCCCAAACGTAGTCGCAGGCCATGCTGTATCGGAAAACGCGAGCTGTATTTCCTATTCTCCTGAGAACGGGGTGACTGTGTCCCACAGAGGAAGCTAACTAAACAAAGAAAAACCAATATCTCCACAGCCCCCCAGCCCCCGGGGGTCCAGAGAACCTGTAATTAATCCGAACAAAAGCAGGTAGGGGAATATCTCGATTTACCAGAGAACAATTTTCCAGGCGGAAACACGCCTGTGCAGGGACACGTGTTCACACACACGCAATGCACACTCAAACCATGAACTGGAAAGGTTTTTCTTATAAGGCTTAAAATAACCCCGGGGAAAATGGCCGCGCTGTATCCAGGCAACAGCCAGAAGAGCGCTATGGATCCAGAGGTAGCTGGCCGCTCAGTCACAGAGCGCTAATGACCCCCCAAGTCCCTGGAAGGGCTCGGAGCGCAGCACCGAGGTAAATATACCAATGATGCATCCGTGCCGCTGTCTGAATCTCACATCAGACTAACAGGACAAAGCCCTGCAGTCAGCACAGACAGCGTGGCCATGATGGGGGGGCCACGGTCAATGGGAGGGCCAAAGGCACAGTGAGCCCCCGCTGGTGTCAGTAAGAGCCCCCCACCTCACCTGCCGCTCTAGGCAGTCTCTGGTGGCGTCGTTTCTGCCACACAAAGGTAGAACAACATAACCACGTTTGTTATCAGCTGAATTACGCCCAAAATCAGGGCTCTTAGAGACTCTCATAACAAAATGTCTTAGCTCAGCTTTGTTAGGTTTTGATGTGAAACTTACAACAAAATCCACATTAAAACCGAGGCAGGAAACCCCGATTCTCAGTGTCAGAGTAGCTGCTGTGCTCTTCCTTTGAAGGGCAGATTCAGGTGAGGCATTTCGCTCAAGGATACAACAGAAAGGCCTTTTCCAGCTCTGGAGTTCAGGTGGGAATCCTTAGCAACCTTTAGACCATGGTTAACGGCCAATCTGTGCTTTCCCAGCAGGCAGAGCCCGGCCTGACACGGCCAGAGGGAGAAAAACAAACAAGCAGGACAGCAGGGCGGGAACATGCAGAAAGGCCATTGGCCGTGTCGGGGCCTCTCACCCGAGTCTGAGCTGTACATGTAGACGAACTTGGTCCATTTGTAGTGCTCGATGAGGCTGACCAGGGCGTCCTGCAGCTCGGGCCGTAGCTGGATCACGAACTGGTTGGATGTTTCGATGGGGAAGCTGGGCGTGACGAAGCAGACATGCAGCGCCCCACAGAAGGACATCAGCATGTTCACCGTCTTCCTGTCGTACAGGCCGATGATGGCGTACACGCCCTTGGAGAACTGCGAGCAGACTGGGGAGGGACAGGGGAAAGGCCGTTAGCAGGAGCTGTGTCAGGGTCACCAGACGGCCCAGCAGTTCACAGACACTTATCCAACATGACCGTAGCCTATTTACAATGTATATAATAGTCTGCTCATTTCAGCTGACTGATTCTCCCATAATCCACTAAAAAAACTCACCACATCGCCATGAAATACGAACGCTATGGAAGATTCCTGTGAATAACCACAGGCAGATATACGAGGGCGGCACATGTTCGGAGGGAATCGCTGACACTTTGGTGACAAGCAGCCCGTTCTGCCTGCTCTCTCCTCGGCCCAGCGCAGGCGAGCTCCGCTATCACTTCCTGTCAGGCCAAAGCGTCTGCCATCTGCTTGCTCATGTCCCTTCCCCTCCGTTTCGCTTCTTTCTCCTAATCCCCCTGCTATTGTTCTGTGGTCCCCGCACACGCCCGCTCCCGCTCAAGGGCTATTTTCGTCCCGCCTCCGTTGGCCTCAGGTCCCCGCGTGTTTACTAAACAGATTGAAATTCCAGTCTGTTCCCTACCCCCGGCCCAGCTCGCAGTGTGGGGCATGTGGTCGCTGCCCGCGCCGGGAGGAAGATGAACGGAGATGGCTGAGACCCAGCCGTCCACCCCGCCGGTGATTCGGGGTGGGCATCGTGGCCCCTCCGCCACAGCCGGAGACCTCGGTGCTGCCTCTAGTTCATTCCCCAGTGAAAAATACACCCTTTATCATCAGGGGACACCCTGCCTCATGCTGTCCACTCTTACAGCCCCCAGGAATGCTCACTATGTGTGACATAACTGCACATGATTCTGTCTGAGGTACAGAAGGCGGGGGGCCCAATTCTGCTGACAAATGCTTTGCTGTATCAGAGGACTATTTTCAGGGAGCTCGCCGCCCCCAGACAGACAGCTGTCCTAAACTGCGCACTGCTCCTCGCAGGCTGAAATGCGGTACACCGGGTGTAACACATTGTACCATCAGGGTGTCCTGTGCTCTCCGCTACATTGCGGTGACACACTCGTTATGTAAATGAGGCCCGAGTTGGACACCTCGCTTTAGACGCAGCCACTTGCTCGTCCCGAGTGGCGCAGCCCCAACGCAAGACATGCGGCCCTGTCAGGTGGCTCGGAGCTGCGGCGGCCTGCGACAGGGGCGGCCTGCGACAGGGGCGGCCTGCTTGCCCACTGGGCACCTAATGCCTCATAGGGCCGGAATGACAGAAACACGGCGACGGCTCCCTGTCCGGCACAGCCTCTGTCCTTCGCCTGGGGCCAGGTGCGATGAGGATGCGGCAGGCAGTCACACTCACACTCACACTCACACTCACGCCGACACTAACATTAAAATACATGACAAGACCTGAGGAGACAACCAGCCTCACAACAGCACAAAAGTAACACAGCAGTGGGGGAATTCCTATAATAGGAAATGAATGAATGACTGTACTGAGACTGGGACTTTAACTGGGATGCTTTCACTTACAACCCATTATACTGGGACTTTAACTGGGATGCTTACACTTACAAACCATTATACTGGGACTTTAACTGGGATGCTTTCACTTGCAACCCATTATACTGGGACTTTAACTGGGATGCTTTCACTTGCAACCCATTATACTGGGACTTTAACCGGGATGCTTACACTTACAAACCATTATACTGGGACTCTAGCCTTTCCATAACCCGTCCACGGGCATCATGTCTGTGAGGACTTCGTGGCAGACCTGCTCACAGAAACACCAATTCCTGTTTCTGTACCCAGCCTCGGGCCTCAGATCAGCTCCTGGGCCATGTCCATACGGTTCTGACAGAGGTGCATTTCTGGAGACAAGGGAGGTGGAGCTGTTATGAATTCCAGAAATAGTTAAAGCATTTTAAAGGTGAATAATGTAACCAACAAACTACCCCTGATATTTAGCATTTATATGAATTGATACTTTGTTGTTCCCATGGGGAAATTCTCTTCACACCTCTGTAGGTGAGAGTGAGCTTGGCAGCGAAGGGCAGCCACCTGTTGCAGCGCACAGGGAGCTGGGAGTTAAGGGCTTCGCTCAAGGACACGCAGACATGGCGAGACCAGGCTCCAGCCAGCGACCTTTTGACCACATGCACGGAGGCTCAGCCCGCGGGGTCACACACTGCCATCCTTCGGGGTTTGCTTAAGGCATAAATCCTCTGCTCACAGGAGTGAATCGCATTCCCTAGGTGTGTGACGTCTCCTGCCCAGAGTGTTTCATGAATCATCCTGCTATTTTTCATTCCCATACCAAGCCACCACTGTTATGAGACAAAAATGTTGTAAATAAAATATCATTTACATAACCGGCTGCTTCGTCCACAGCATCCAGCACCTACCCTGTCCCTGACAGGCCCGTCCTGAAACCAAATTTGGCCTTAATTTAAATAAAAAATGGTATAATGACAGATTTTCTTCCATCTGTGCCTAAATCATGATCCCATTTATCAGAAATGGGCTCCTGGTTTATGCTGGTTAACAGATGGTATATTTTAGAAACTGTTGTGTCTTGAAATTTCAGAAAAAAGTACGACAGTGAGGAGGCTGTCCCACTTAGCTACTGAGGAACTAAGAAATAGTTCCAGAAGCGTGCCGGATCATTTTTCTGAAAAGCACTCATGTTAATTGCCTTCTGTGAATAATTTTGGCCGTGGTTTGCATAAGCAGTGAATTATGGGAATGAAGCAGTGTGTGGGGTCACCTGGCTGCTTTTACTGCGGGGGGCGGGGTTCCTGGTTTGGTGAAAATGAAAGGCCGGTTTCCAGATGAGTGGGGTGAGCAGGAGGGTAATTATGCTATTTCTCACAGAGGACTCTTTTCAAATTGTTAATTTGACTGTTCAATGAAAATCTAGGTAAAATGAGTGCTGGACCCAGGAACCAAGAGACAGATTGCTCTCATGTTCCAAACAGCTAACAAAGTCCGACGGGCTTGTTTTTCTGAGCCAATTCTAAAGAGCGATGAGGAGCCATGAAAGGAGATAATTAATGTTAGATAAAACACACATTCTAACATAGCAGAAAACGCTTTTCATCTATAAGGTGTGTTAGACCCACATGATTGGTGCATCTTACTGAGACCACAGTATGACTTCTGCAGCCGGGGAGCATTATTTGAAAGAGTGTCTTTGACCAGAGCGAAGACATTTAATACTGTGAGCTGTTCAACCAAATCCTTTAGCACGATGCTCTTTGTGGTTATGTTAGGGCTGCATTTAAGGGGCCTATAAGGCTGCATACAAATTTGGGAACAATAATCCCATCTACACACCTCCTCTGTTAATTACATCTACATCTTTCTCCCATATGAAGTCAATCACATTTATTCCAATGGCATTTCACAATACTGTGTTGATCCAAACACGATTGCACAAATATTTTTAATTATATGCAGCTGAGTGACCATGAAACGTGTGTCATGCCATGACAGTTGTTTGTGAAGGACAGTGACACTCCTCTCCCGTTCCAGATGTCTGGGTTTGCTGACATTGTTAAAGGCACCATTTTGACATCTCAGAATTCCCCGTACGTCCTTCAAATTCCCATCAACAAATGTTAAGATTGCATTACAGGCTGGTTGCATTATCCTACCTGCACTTAACTGGTTGAGTGCCTTATTTGCATCATTTTTTTCCATTTTGTTTTCCATCATATTTAAATCAGCTCTCTTGGACCATGAGGGTAAATCATTTATAACCAGTAAAGTCACTAGACAGTTGAATTTCAGGCTCAGATTCTCAAAAAGTCTCAATCCCTTTCTGTAATGACTGATTTATGACCAGCTTAGAAACAACCCTGCTGGTTGAATAATTTATAATACACCTCCTGTTGGGACACTGAGAATGTAAATTACAACAGAATGCAACGATTTACAAATAAAAAAAAAAAACTAATTTAATTGAAAATAGCACAAAACCAACATATCTTAAAACCGAGGATTTTTTTTTGTTTTATGACAATATGTTTACAATTTATGTCATAAATATCTATTTGATGCCAGCAACACATTTCAAAATAGTTGGGACAGGGGCAACAAAAAACTGGGAAAGTTGTGTAATGCTAAAATAAAACACCTGGTTGAATATGTCACTACTAATTAGGTTAATTGGCAACAGGTCAGTAAGATGGTTGGGTATAAAAAGAGCCTCCCAGAGAGGCAGTGTCTCTGTGCAGTGAAGATGGGGAGAAGTTCACCAGGTTCGGTGAAAAACTGCATGTGCAAATGGTGCACCAATTTAAGTATAATGTTCCTCAATGTGATATTGCAAAGAATTTAGGAATTTCATCATCTACAGTACATAAAATCATTAGAAGATTCACAGAATCCAGAGAAATCTCTGTATTCTATAGTGGAAATCACTGCATGGGCTCAGGAACACTTTGTCAAACATAGTTTGCCACTGTATCCACAAATGTAGGATTAAACTCTACCATGCAAAGAAGAAACCAGATCTGAACACAATCCAGAAACGCCGCTGACTTCTCTGAGCCCAAGCTCATTTAAGATGGACTGAAACAAAATGGAAAACTGTCCTGTGGTCTGACAAATCAAAATTTCAAATTCTTTTTGGAAATCATGGACACCACATCCTCCAGGTTAAAGAGGAGAGGGAACAGTTAAAAAGCCAGCATCCATGATGGTGTGGGGGTGCATTAGTGCCTGTGGTTTGGGTAGCCTGCACTGGGAAGGCACCATTAATGCTGAATGATATATATACAGTTTTTACTGCAACATATGCTGCCAACTAGACGACGTCTTTTTCAGAGAAGGCCTTGTGTATTTCAGCAGGACAATGCCAAACCGCATTCTGAGTGCAGCAGTAGAAGAGTCCGGGTACTAGACTGGCCTGCCTGCGGTCCAGACCTGTCACCCATTTGAAACATTTGGCACATCATGAAACTAATAATATGAGAAAGGAGACCCCGAACTGTTGAGCAGTTGAAATTCTATATCAGGCAAGATTGGGCAACACGTCACTTTCAAA